GCCGCTTAGACAGCCTCATATGTTCTTGGCATTGGATAAGGAACTCGAGGAGGAGATCGATAGAGTACTCATCCAGGAGCCCTGGACTTCAACCATAGACCAATTACTTGGACAAGGCAACACTCGTATTCTCGAGACAGGGGACCAGGGTTCTCATGATAACAAAGGTTCTGTCTTCGTCACTCATATATATATATATATATATATATATATATATATATATATATATATATATATATATATATATATATATATATATATATATATATATATATATATATATATATATATATATATATATATATATATTAACATAACACTGACAAAGACAAAGCCATCGTTCTCATGAGAACCCTGTTCACCGGTTTTGAGAATTGATATTCTGGCTAGATGATAAAAATGCGTCATGGAATAAGCAGAGAGCACTTAATACAGGTTCTACCTACATGCTTCCCCGATCATTATTCATTGTCATATGTGGTTCATAAATAGTTTAGGCAAGCAGTGCAGAATCAGGATAGAAAGGTGACGACTTGGGGTGGTCATGATGGGTCTCTATACCATCCAATTTGCAAAATGTCCGTATTATAATTAACAAGTAGCGGATCAACTAATCAGTGTTGACTGGATCAGAGGACACCAATGTATCCAACGCTCAGCAAACCAAATTTTAGCGGGCTACCGAGACAAGCCTATCTATCGTTATTTAAGAAGGAAAGACTCCATCGCAACATATAGATTTTTCCAATAATCGATTGGATATTGACTGGATGCAAGGCACTGCAGAATCAGACTGCCTTACTAAAAGCAGATCTGTTTCCTTAATGTCTGTGAAGGAAGCCTAAAAACTGAAATCCCGTAGCGCTTGGGCTTCACCATTTGCGATTAGAAAATGATCAGTCAGGAAGTTCCAAGTGAATTAGGAAAGCATAATAAACTGATGGGTCAATTCTGTGGTCATCTGTAAGCAATTCTATAAATTTCCATAAGCCTATAGCTGCCTAAAGACAATTTGTAATTCTGCACTTCCTGTGGATTACGGAATATATTATAGTATCGTAAATATTTCCGATGGAGTGTTTGGCAATCGATGCGTTTTGCAGTGTCTATAGGCTTATAGAAATTTATAGATTTGCTTAAAGATGTGCACAGAATTGACCCGTAACCTTAGCAAGGATAGTAGAACAAACTGGCCTAAAATGCAACAGAATAAATAAGAGCCAGTGAAAAAGGTAAATCACATCATAGCATAGGAGCTTGGGTGGAGCAAAAAGCCTGTACCAACAACAATGGAATTGTCTTTAATGTAATTGAATTTATCATTTTTATTCACAAATTTATACGGCGTCCTGTATTTTGTGATTGATGCCTGGGCAAAAATATGTATTTAAACTTTTATTTATAATGTTTGGTTTAAATACATTTTGGTTAACTTGGATGAAACTTAAATATTGATTATTATTTTTAGACAAAAAAAAAGTAGTGCTCGAAATGATATCAATGCTAACAAAACAGTTTGAGAAGTACATTTGTGATGCAAATTAATTCAGCCCCTGATTTCCTAGCCATCAAGTTTAATCTATTCGTTTAAGGTTTATATACTCCTGTTTTCTTTTATTGTTCTGGAATTTCTCCTGAAGCTTCTGACAGAATTGACAATTTTAAGTTGTAAGTGAAACGAAACATGAGGCTGGTAGGTATACATTTCAAATCTTAGTTTCAAGCCAAACTTGCGAGATTCTCTGGGTCCATTTTAACGCTATTAATTGAATAATGTCAACAATGCCGAATTTTGATTGCCCTAGAGATATTGCTCTCGATTTGTGTGTTGTGCTGCTTGTACCTAACAGTTGCATAAACATAATTAACTTCATAGACGATGGAGACCTTGAACTTAGAATTGTTTAAAATTATCATTATAAATAAAATAGAAAACGTTGATGTAGGTACCTCCTAATATTGTCTTCACGACTTGCAAAAATCAGTTCAAAAAAATTATGCTGCAAGAAATCGAGGCGTTGCCGGAAAGTCACGCTGGTGGAACAACTAAACACGAAAAGCAATCATTATGCAACCTTTATTGAAAATAGTTAAATGGCACGGTCATCAGGTCAACCCAATAATAACTGTATTCAGGTTGGTAAATTAGCGTATTGGAACTTATATTACAAAATACTCAAAAGAGTATTTTTTTTTTAATACAGTGAGACCCATTGTGGCTAATTAAATATGTCATTAATCAAATTTCGAAAACTTTTACTAGTTTATATTATGCTGTATGCTGTCTAATGTGGTAATTTTATATAGGTAATGCCGATAATGACTATTAATGCTATACGACTACGACTACATAAAGGATCGCTTTAGTTATTTCTTCAATCAATAATTATTAGTCGTTCAAAAACATTCCAATCATACTACTTCAGGAATTTTGTAACATATAGACATTGATTTATTCTTCATCCTATTATTATGCTTCCTTCCAAATAACTATTTATAATAGTAGGGGTACCTACTCAAAAACTTTTCCAGTCCTACTTTTGTTCATGCAGCCCTTTTTTTATCCCCTTTTCTTATCGTCACACATTCGTTTCCTAATTTACAAAGCAATATTGGTTGTCTTTAATTAGAAAAATCCCACACGCTCCTTTATTGGCACGTAATGTCAAATGAAAGTTTTCTGCCATTTCAACGAGATGCCTTTACCGATAATCACTTTCAGAATTCCCTTGGAAGAGTATTAACTTATCGATCTTTTGGAAGAGAGGAGAAAAAGGACAGTAAAAGAGCTTCAATGCCGTTACAGAATATGAAAGGGTTGCGTGATTCAGACCACTCAAAAAAGCCTGGATGCATAATTTAAAACTGGGGAAATGCAATTTTTTGTTCTTGTGGTATGACGAGCACAGGATCAGGATCACTATTACTTGTTTATCAAAGAAGGTCATGTATATTAATAGATTGCATTTTACAATAACTAATTTCCTATTTACTATTGTTTTATTTGTGCTTGAATGGCATAACTAAAAATACAAGGGACTATTTCATTCACTATTCATTTATTTCCTATTTTAAAAAAAAACTCAGTTTCTCGTTTCCTCCTATAAGTTATTTGTTGTATACGTGAAAAACTTTTCTTTCAGTCCTGGAAGCCACAGGAAATGTACGGCCGAGATTTTCTGGTATAGATACAAGTTTCACGTGGCTTTCAATAAACATGCTGTTGTCGTACGTGAAAATAAAAGATTCAATATAGCCCCAGTTGTAAATATTCTGTAGATGTTCTCTTCCTTAGCTTTAAAAGGGAAAAGGTTTATTAGTTTGTGAAACATGAACCAATATATTTTCTGTAAAATATGCATTCTATCAACAATCTATCAAAAATTTCAAAATCCTTTATTGTAAACTCCAAGGACCTATAAAATTGGATAATTAAATACAAAAGGAATTAGTAAAAAGTTTTGAGGCAAGATCTCTAAATCCACAAAGTGAAGCAAAACGATGCTCTAAATTTATCAACGTCATAAGATGCCCCTAATCCAGATATTTATACCGCGAAACAGGTTTTGTTTATTTAATCTTTTTGAAGAAAAATTTGCATTCATTATGTTTAAGACTTTGAGCAATTTATTATTGAAATAAACATAAATGAATTTTAAATGTCTTGGATTTTCTGTCGTAGACAAGATTAGAAGTAATCTGCCCATGTTTCAAAGAAACTGTTGCTGAAACAGCAAATAAAGTTGAGTTGGTAAAAGAATGAAAAACGAAACACAAACATCAACTAGTAACCCACGTAACAAAATTGCATCCTTAGAATGTATTAAGAATGTTCTTTTTCTAGGAGGTATGTGCCTAGAATGTTCGCCAAAACCATTGCGAATGTCCTGAGAATGTTCTGAGAAAAGATTGTAGAAATACTGTTTGCAATACCCAAGAACTTCCTGGGAAATCCATTAGGATATACCTAGAATATACCTATGAGATTCTCAGTACATCCTGAAAAGAATATTCCTGTTTGATTCTAAAAATATGCTCGAAATGTATATTCTCATATTCAAAGAATGTTTCTATGACATTATAGTTATGTTCTCAAAAGAATATTATACCAATGAAATATTCTTAGAATATATCTACATATATCATTCTCAATATGCACCCTAGACATAACATTCTTGTTTGATTCTAGGGACATACTTGGAATGTTAATTTTCGCATCCAACCAAATCATGCTACTTTCAGTCCTATATTGAAGGCAGTGAAAGAGTTGTTGGGAAATTTCTCTGGAAAACACAAGTGTTTAACCAAAGGTCTGGTTTCGAGCTTATTATGCTCTCGTCGCGGTAAGCACGCCAACTGAGAGAAACAGGTTCCAAGGTGATTCAAACGCGAGGCAAGATGTAGATCTTTAATAGCGCGTGGCTCCCTCTCTTGGAAGTCCTACAAAGCAAGAGGAAAAGAATATACCTATAATATTCTTAGTAGGTTCTAGATAGAGCATTATTGTTTAATTGTTCAATTAAGTTTTTGAGTAGGTACTTTAGATAATTAGGTGAACAATATGGAAATATTCTTATTATGGGTACCTACCTACATAAACTTCTCGGCACAACTTGGTAGGTATATTCTTAATACTTGATAGAGATATTAGCCGAAAGAACATTTTTTAGGGTACATTATAATAATGTTCGTATGAGAATATTCAAATAATGTTATATAAAGTAGGTTCTTAGCATAATCTTTCAGGTAGGTGCATAGACGCAACATTCCTAGTACTTAAATAGAATATTCAAAAATGAATATTTCAATCGAAACAATCTTAGAATATTCATTGAACATTCCTAAAAGAACATTCCAAAAAGCACTTTGAGGGAATATTCTGAGAATATGAATGTTCTTTCACTGTTATGTGGGAAGTCAGAAGAAATCTAAAAGCAAAAAAGAGTTTGTGCGAAATTTCAATAGGTACTAATAATTTGCTAGGTAATAAAATTCAGAATTTAAGTAGGTATGTATTTTAGGTCATATGGTTTTTATTAAAATAAGATAATAAAATACAGAAGTATTTACTTAAGTTAGGCACCAAGTTCTTTGTAGAGTTGGGGTACGTAGTCATCGAACTGAGCCAAATAGAAGTTGCCGGCCACTGGTTGTCCCAAGTTGTACTTTTCGGCGAATTTGGTGAGGAAGAAGTTTCCACGCCCATCAACAGCCCTAAAATATTATTACTCACTGAAGTGGGGTAATGTTCAAGTTCTAAGCAAAAGACAAACAAATACTTTGATTAAAGTGTATGTACATACAATTTCAATTGAAAAATATTCAATTCAATCAAAAATTAAATAATACCTCTCTGCCAAAAATTATACAGAAGTTGAATGTAATGAGATGTAATTATTAAATTATTGTCCATGGGTGGGTTATTGAAAATAAAAAGGTCTCACCTTTTAAGGCGAGGTTCATCGAATTGAATTTTTCCAGGCTGCTTGTAGACCATAAAAACGTATCTGTGGATTCCGGTACCTTGTGGTGGTCCGGAACCGATAAAAGCAGACAAAACCTCACCTTGGGCTACGTTCCTACCGGGAATGTTGCCGACAAGCCAGTGGTGCCATTCGTAGTAGGGTTCGTCACGGTGTCTGTTGTCGGGATCTGTGAATGAAAATGTTGATTTTACCCTAAATAATCATCTTATCATATGGGAAATTGTAAAAAGTTCTTCATGTATTTATGTTATACTATGAACAATTTCTCATTTCGAAAACCTCACAAAAATAAATAACCTTTGTATATTTTGCTAAAAATTCAAGGAAAGATTCAATCACCTGTCAGACGATAAAAAGCTAAAATCTTGAAAAAAAGAATTTGATATTTTTCAAGTTGGTATAGTAGAATCTACTAAATTTAGGAAAACAACAGCACTTGCATGTAGGTAATACTTTATAGAAATAATAATATGATTTCTGATAAAAAAGACCAATAATCGAAAAAGTAAAAATTCTTAATCCTTGATAATCGAACCTTTGCTTTAGCCAAATTTGAGCCAATTCCAAGAGGCCGTTTTTTGTTTTATTGTCATTAAACAGATTTCGAAAAATGAACCAATCAGAGCACAGCATTTTCATAGTTAGTCCTCCCTTGATGTAAACTTAATAAATTACGGCTTATTGTAAAATTTGGCAACTCTATCAAAGAAAAGTTTAAAGAAATTTCAATTTTTCCACCGCAAACCGACCCGCAGTATTTTTTTTCGTTTTTGGGAAATTTACCTGTAAAATATGTCAGCTTATGAAGGGATACCCTGTCATAACTTCTACTAATCTGCTAGGATCACGAACGAGGAAGCACTCCAACGCATGAATAAGCAAAATGAACTGCTAAACACTATCAAAGATAGGAACACTGGCGTAGCCAGGATTTTGTCTTGGGGGGGGCAAATTTGCAGGAAGTGTTTCTTGTTGGTTCATCGCCAGTGCTGCCGAAGGCAAAGCGCCGCAGTCGCGAAATTTTTGGATGCCAGCCGTTTTTTTGGGTCTTTTAACAGTATTTTTGGGACCGTTTATTTAAATTTTGAAGCATTATCTATAAAATTTAAAGATCTTGGGGGGGGGCAAATGCCCCTCTGCCCCCCCCTGGCTACGCCAGTGGATAGGAAATACCATAGGGAAATACATTACTTATGTCACGTGATGATAGGTGAAAGGTACGAGCTTCTCAGACAGAGTTTTGAGCTTGCAACAGTGTCAGACGTGTTATTATTTTACAAACGAATATTTCGAAAATCTTCCTGTGAAAAGTGAAAAATAAAAACCATTACATAGTAATTGAGTAAATAACGTTACATCGCGGAGAGTGAAGGCAAGCATAGAAAATAAAGAAAAAATATCATACATTCCCGAGTTTTTTCATCTGCAAGACCCGGACGCAGAACAGCGTTGTCAATAGCTTTATTCGGTTGATATGAACGAAAATAATTTGCATATTATTATAATTTGCATTTTATATTTCAAACATATCAGCTTTTTTCTTTTGTGAGCAAATTGATATTTTTATAATCCGGACAGTTTGGAATCCTTGAAGGAAGCCTTACATCTGCGTTCTTCATCTCTAGTTAATTATGTCTCAAGGCGATGGTGGTCTTTGTGCGGAGTGTAATCAGGCCATCACCAGAAGACATTACTCATTTATTTGTTTTTTGTGTGATAAATGGAATCACAATAAATGATGCGTCGACTTATCGGTTACTCAATTAAAATTTTATGAGAGCGAACTTAAAAAACCTGATGGTGATCGCTGGAGTTGTCCATCTTGCCTGAGAGAAACCGTACAGAAATCCCAGACGGCTCGTAAATCGCTGGGTGGAGTGCAGAATAAATCAGGTATCCCTCTTGTACCCTCTGCTTCTGTGACTCTGGAGGACATTATGCATAAGCTCAACTGCATGGAATTGACCAACAAGGACCTACTTGATATGTATAATAAGCAATTGGAAGTAAACAACCTTCTACTATGGAAGCAAATGAGGTACTTTTTCAGGAATATCGTGATCGCGAACAACGCAAAAACAAAATAATCATTTGTGGACAACCTGAGCCTTCCTCAAATGATGTTCATGATACTGATTCTGTAAACAGTATTCTTTGCTCCTTATGCTCAGATTTTGATGTGTCAAATATTAAATGGGTAGGAAATATTTAAAACCAACATTCTAATAATGCCGTTATTCGACCACGTCCTTTGGAAGTATGCTTCAAAAACACGACAAGTCCTGTGGAAGTCTTTAAGCAGTGCAATAAACTAAAAAACAATGCACAACTAAGACATCTTACAATTATATCTGATAAAACAAGAAAACAGATGCAGTTATACAAATCTGTTAAAGAGCAGCTTGCTCAGCGTAAAAGCTCAGGTGAAAACAATATCAAAGTCAGGCATATAAAAGGAGTACCCACTATATCGTTCCGGTCACAAGAAATGAAAACCAGTCGGAAAACTAAGCTCGTCGAACAGAAACATCCCCTTCAACACAATACACTGCTGCCACCAGAATGCGCGGGGTTTAAATACAAAAACTATGGATTTCTACTTCTCGGTGGCGACCTCTGGTTTCGATATGATTGCTGTCACGGAAACCTGGCTGCGGCCTGAAATGAATGACTGAAATTTTCCCAGACTTTTACAATGTTTATCGCGCCGATCGTAATTTCGAGTGTGTGGACCAATAATGTGGACGCCTTGATGGGCGGTGGTGTGCTTTTAGCTGTTGACAATAAAATTAGATCTCAACTGGTTCCGCTGCCGAATCTAGAATCTATAGTACCATTGATCGATTTCATTTGTTGTAAATTAATATTTGATGGTTCTGTTGTTTTTGTGTTTACCATATACATACCCCCTTCTGTACTGAAAAATGATGTCGAGTTGTTTTTTGACTCGTTTCTTTCAAACAGTTTAATTTACAGTAAAAACCTTATTGTGCTAGGAGACTTTAATGTGTCTCTTTTTGTTCTCAATGACTTAACTGATTACTGATTCTAAAAGCAACATCCTTAAAAACTTCATGGGTATACTGAATCTTACGCAGTATAATAGTGTTTTGAATGTTAATAACCGTATGTTAGATCTCATCTTTTCCAACACGCACTGCGATGTAATGAGAAATAGGTAATGTACCACTTGTGAACGAAGATGCACATGACCCATCACTTTGTATCGACTTTGAAGCCTCAACAACTCATTTTAGCAATTTGTAGATTGGTCTCTCGTCTATAATTCTGCTGTTATTGATGCTCGGCTTTATATGCTGTCCTTAATAGTATTTTTGACCGTTGTGTTCCAAAAAAAATCAAACGTAATCGCCGATGTCTTACCTATTATACAAAAGAAATAATTGACAACATTCGCCTAAAAAAATATGCTCGCAAGAAATATCTTCGATTTCGCGGGCATTACAATTACGAGAGATTTGATTCCCTTAGACGACTTGTAAAAAATCAAATTAGCAACGCGTATTCACAGTACATAAAAAAAATTACATAATCTGTCAAATCTGATCCAAAAACTTTTTGGTCTTTTATTAACTCTAAAAACAATCTCACTAGGATACCTGGGGTAGTCTTTAATAACGGTAGGTACACATTACTCAAATGCCCAAGAAATAGTGGCAGGCTTTGTGTCCTTTTTTCATGATGTTTATATTGATTCTACGCCCTATGATAATAACGAGTTCGCGTCATGTTCTGATTCCATCGACTTTTCTTTTGTTAATACCACAGATATTATTGGTGCAGGCAAAAAGCTTAATAGCAAATTAACATCGGCAGCTGACGGTATTCCTAGCTTTCTGGTTAGAGATGGTATTGGTACACTCGCCGATCCTCTGCAACATATTTACAACCTTATTCTTAAGGCTAGTTATTTTCCTGCAGTATGGAAAGATGGAAAGTGGCAAAAGTTATCCCCATTCATGAAAAACGGGATATCTCCCAAGTCAACAACTATAGGCCAATCTCTTTACTTTGTAATTTCTCTAAAGTTTTTGAAATTATTCTTTATGGTAAACTTTTTCCATATGTTAGGAACCAGATTGCAAGTGAGCAGCATGGTTTTATAAACGGTCGCTCATGTGTGCTGTTGTCTAATGAAATTTCCATAGGTCTGGGCTTGGACAGGTTGACGTAGTCTATACTGACTTTCAAAAGGCTTTTGATCGAATCAATCATTTTATTTTACTTTCAAAATTTCAGGCCTTGGGACTGTCGGATGGGCTCGTTAGCTTGTTTCAGTCTTACTTATTCGACAGAAGTCTTTTTGTACAGTATGAGGGCTTCAGGTCGTCAGTGTTTAACATTACCTCAGGTGTTCCCCAAGGATCTAATTTGGACCATTTCTCTTTAATATCTTTATTATCGATCTGATTACTGCTTTGCCCTGTTCAAAGCTCGCATGTGCTGACGATTTGAAGCATTTTACCTCTGTGAATGGTGAGGAAGGCTGTGTAAATTTGCAAGTTTGTTTAAATAACTTACACACTTGGTGTAACAAAAATATGTTATACTTGTATATTGAAAAATGGAACATTGTTAGTTATTGTAGAATTAAGCAGCCAATTTTGTATCCATATGTTATTGAAGGAAATTCATGGGTTAACGAAATTAGAGATTTGGGTATAGTTTTTGATAGCCGCTTTACTTTTGTACCTCATATTGAATATGTAAGCTCGGCTGCCGTTAAAACGCTTGAGTTTATCATTAGAAATAGTAAGTACTTCTCAAATGAATTTACTTTTAAACTCTTGTACTTCACTTTTGTTAGGTCCAAGCTTGAATATGGTGCAGTGATCTGGAATCCTATTTACGAGTGCCACGTTAACACAATTGAAAATGTTCAAAGAAAATTTTTAAAGTACCTATGTTACATTCAGATTAGATGGGTCATATTCTCACAGAGACATTGAACATTGCCAGTATTTACAACGATTCAATACACAATCGCTTTGTTAGAATAAGGAAAATACTGGGTCTTAGGTTCTTTTATAACCTCCTACACAATGTAATTGACTGTCCCTCGCTATTGGCTAGGATTCAGTTTCGGGTTCCACGTCTGGCGGGGAGGTATGACTTAACGTTTCACTTGGATAGTGCCAGGTCAAACATCTTAATGCAATGCCCGCTATATTTTGTGTGCTCTGTATTCAATGGTATTTCAAGTGTGTGCGATATTAACACAAGAGCTTGGTGGGAACCCCAAAACAATTCTGAAAGGTTAAGGCAAGGAGTGTTGTGTTGCCAAATTAACGTCAAATTATATTATTTTGTTTGGGTTACATTTTCCTAACAGGTGCGGACAATGTTTATTGTTTAATGAGTGGCGAAAACAGCAGTTTTTAAATTATGTAGGTAATGTTTTCAAGTTGCAGAATAGTTATTTAAACAACAAGTTTTGAAAACGACTTTTTTCGCACGGCGAGACAGTTTATTGGACTGAGCCTTGTAGGCGAGTTCCACAAGTCGAACGAGTGTGAAAAAAGGTTTTCCTACGACCACATATGAAAATGACAAAATCCGCACAAGTTGGTGCTTTGGAAAGCGCTTTCAAATATCACACGCGTGCCGAAAGTACTTTCAATACGCGTGCTTGAAGTACTTCCAGCACACGTGTGGAAAATTCTGTTGACATTATTTGTGATTGACATTGGCATTTCACTTTCAATACGTGGGTTGAAAGCACTTTCAACACGTGTGTTGAAAATGAAAAGAAATAAAATAAGTAAAGTGTAAATCGGTTTCTGATCGTAGGAAAAATAGTGTACATCGCTTGTGAGAAAGCGTTTTTCATTCACTCGTGTGATTTTGGCACATGGCTGCCGCCTCGCGCGAAAAAACACTCGTGTGAAATTTGTCACTTTCTACACTTGTTATATATACCTACTATTTCAAACGAGTTTTTTACAATGCTTTTCCTACAACTGCAAAATAAAACAAGCAAATAGGTACTTATGTATCGGGCCTTCAAAAAAAAAAACAATCGAAGATTGCTTTGATTACGAAAACGTACGTCGCATTACTGTTTCTTTATTGGTCAGGATTTTTGACGTGACATTTTGACGTTAAAGTTCATTGACAAAATTAAAGGCGAATATTGCTAAGACATACGTTTGAAAAACCATAGCAATCTTCGATTGTTTTTTTTTTTTTTGAAGACCCGATAGGTAACTAATTTTTATTTGTTAGAAAACAAATCATCAACATCAGAAATTGATAACAATCGCAATTTATGTTGTCATGTCAGGATGACAGCACCAAAATAAATAAAAAAACTAATTAGCAGCGTGTGAAAAAGTTTTTTGCTCGCTGTGCGAAAAACTGTATTTTCAGAGGTTGCCTAGCATGCGAAAAACTCCATTTTCAGAGGCAGTTGTAGGAAAAATGATTTTTGACGAAAGTTGTTTATTTTTCAATGGTCAGAAAAAAAGTTTTTTGCAGATGCTAGTTTGTTTGTGCAATGAAAGATTTGGATTTTGTTGGAATTTTCGATATTTTTATACAACAATTATTAATAATGCCCAAGAATCGTAAACAGGATTGCTCATCCTAATAAGGCGTACGTTCACCAATTCTTGAGTAGACAGGGTCTGCGAGTGACGTCACCATAGCAGCCAATAGTGATGACGTCACCCGCAGACCTCGATGGAAGGCTTGCGATGCAGACTCTGCTCGGTATTTGATTTTTTCGTCGATTTTAAATGTAGAAAAGGTAATTTTAACAAGATTGTAACTTTTAGGAATTCATTTTTCGACCCAAAGTGCTTTAAACTCGAATAATGCATTTTACTCCAAGAGTTGAGGTCTGCGGCTGACATAGCAGTTGGAAGACCTTTTGGTTAATAAGCAGTCCTACTAGGGATTAAAAACAGAATAATTTCTGCCATTTTCTGGACACCTGAAGCTAAGATGATCCGTTTTTTCCCTACGAATGTGCGGAAAAAAAACTTTTGGCATGCACAAAGAAAGAGTCATCTTTCCGCATGCCCTTGGGAAAAATTGTGTTCCCAACACTTGCGAGACATGATATTTCCCGCACTTGTTAGAAAAATAATTATTTTTTTCCGAATTTGATATGAAAAAATTTTCCGCCCTGTAGGAGAACATACGACTTTCCAGTTCCACTCCAACCAAAAGGCAGTGCTTGCTCGTAGAAAACAAAAATAGTTATTTATTTATTTATGTACGACCTACACTGTAAGAGCTTATTACGTAACTCATTTTAGCCTATTTGAGTTACGTAATAAGTTGCATTATCGTGCTTTGTGATGTAATTACATCACTCAGTAGTGTAATGAGAGCTCATTACGTAACTCATTTTTATTGAAAAACGGCACTTTTTAAAATTCATTTATCGAAAATTATAAATATAATCTTTTGTGAAAAATTAAAACCATTTCGAATACGTGAAAAAAATCTTGGTCGTACATAAAATGTTGTATATCACACGTATGGTAACGCTCATTACACCACACGTGTGACTACCACGACTCGGTCTACGACCTCGTTTTGGCAATATTCCCCACTCGTTACTGTAATGAAGCTCATACCGTACTAGTAATATAAATAACTATTATACTCTATAACTGCATAATGACTAGAAAATGCGCGAATGGAAATTTACCGCTTTTTAATCCGTATTCGGACTGAACAGAAGCAAATTATCAATTCTGAAAGCAACTTCGCGCTATAAAACGGAGTCAACAACCAAAGGAAAGATCATCAGTGATAAATAAAAGCCAGTGTGTCGAGGATCAGTCAGTGGCGGATTGAATACAAAAATAAATTATTAATCTGATAATTGAGCCACCTCAATTAACTCCAGTTTGGAAATAAAGTGCATGGCGAAGAAGTTGTCTTGTAGCTGCGTATTGGCTCATCACTTAATTCACTATTTGAGGATCTAAAAAAGCATATAACAATATTGCACTAAAAAGGCACTAGAAAACACCAATATCAACTTAGAACTAATAAAGGTAGTTAAAACGCTCTATAGTGACGCAAAAACATGATTAGCAGAGTAGAATAATCAACGAGGGCTTCAGATTCAGAATAACTAAAGTAGTTACCTACTAAAACAAGGATGCTGTATATGAACATCACTTTCTAAAATATACTTAAAACAGCGTGGAAAAGGACATGCCGATACATGTGGAAACCGCTCAATAAATAAAATCTTTACCACTCTATAAGCTTTGCAGATCACCAAGTATCAATTGCACTGCACATGATTATAATGACCTACAAGGAGTACATAATACGTAAATTGATAGAGGGCGTAAATCTGACAAAAATAGAATATTATATGACCTTAGGAGGAGAACAACAAAACCTCAAATTCAATAGTGACCAAAAAATAATACAATGCACTGAATACAAATATTTTGGAAATAAAATTTCGCTTGAGGAAACCCTAGATGGAGCAACTGAAGTACAGTAGAACCAAAATATGAACAAAACAAACAAAACTAAAATATACAACACCATCGTCGAAAGCATAGCTAAGTATCAGGCCAAAAGTATAAAGCGAAGTAGAAATGATTGTTGAAAATATAAAATAATTATAATAACTTACGTGCAAAGTTAGTTAAATTATTGATGAATCAACCATTGTATTACAATATATATTTTTAATTAGTGGAAAACGAGTTGATAGTAAGATACTGTTGTGACTAGTTAAGCTTGATTGTGGTAAAGCAGAATGTTTTAAAAGTATTAGTTTCGTCGTGATTTTTCTGTTATTCTTTTTTTTCAAATAAAGGCAAATAAATGTTAGAAGTGTAATCTCACTTATCTGCTAAGCCGCTCACATCACAATATTATGTAATTTAATAATATTCCAAAATATCTTTTACCTGTGAAGACCAGTGTGTAATAAGAGCTTGGCTCAGCGTCCCAGGTAAGGGTGGGTTCGTTTTGTACTTGGGTTGGAGTCAATTCATTTCCAAGATTGACGCTGACTCCACTCGGGTAAGAAATCTATTTTTTTTTTTTTTAAATTAACAAAGAAATTGAACCGGAACATAAAAGATTTACTCTAAACTTACTTTGAGTACTTGAGCTGGCAAAACTGGCACTACATCAGGCACAACTCTATGTTTTTCCATTTTGATTTAATATCGATATTCACCGGCTAGCATCTGAACCCTGACTACGTGACCAATTTGAAACGAAAAGGAATTTATAATTAAAGCGCGATAAGAATTATCGGTTTTGCAATAAAAATTAATAACGTCGCTATCGAATAATGTGCCGCTATTATTGTTCTGATTTTTATGACACTAGATGACCCTTCGTAAAATGGATAAATATTGCTAAAACAAAAACCAATTTATGTTGGTAATTTGATACATATTCCGGGTGGTCCACATTGGAGGGCAAAACATTTTTATTTTTAAAGATAAAATTTGGGCTTAATTAGATTAGTTGACTTAATTAGATAATTTTTTTGCCAGAATATGAAAAAAAATCCTCTTTCTTAGAAAAAGATGACACAAAAAACACCGGTTATCAGCTACCTAATCCAAAACATTAGCTCCATAATCACAAAATCTTTTAGACACATTTATAATCCCCCTGCAAGTAACCTTTTTGAGAGCAAGCGGGGTATATCAGTCTCTAAAACTATAGATAGATTTATTACTCACTTCACGGAAGGCAGTACCTGCACCAGCTTGCACCAGATTGGAAGTGTCTATCTTCCCATTCACACGCAGCTAACAAATACGGGTGTTTCTGAATAGTGGGATCAAACCTAGGATAAATACTACCTACTCATTGAAATAATAAAAAAGTTAATGAAAACATGGATCGGCGAATATTTAGTTTTCGAGAGTCAAGGTGTCAAAGTTTGAAAAAACTCAAAAATATCTCTCCCGATTTTCTCTGAACTTGGCAGATTTGTTTGCAATAACAAAAGGTATCTTCTGACTCAATTAGATTTACCAATCAATTCTTTATTGATTAAAAAGAATATACATTCTTATAACAGTAGGTTCTGCACAATAATAATCTTAATCTAAGTAATGCTACATTTCTTATACTTATTAGCTACACGTTTAAATATGTAAACCCAAATTTGAAATTCAAAAAGAACAAAAGATAATACTCTATATTAATTCAGGTACGAGGAGAATAGGAAGATAAAACTAAAATCTAAAGAATAGGTCTATTCATTTCTTAAGAACGATCTAAGTTTAAGAATACTAGTAACGGTTTAGAAAATTAGATTTACCGTAATTATTCCAGTGATGCCGTAGAGGCAGAGGGCAACTACGTTGGTAAAAGTGAAAAAAAATTGCACGTCACTGTGAAAGGGATTTTGGAGCTAAAAAAACGAGTTTTTTTTTTTCAAACTTTGACACACTGTACTCGCAAACTACGCGTTTGCGGACCCATGTTTCTATTAACTTTTTTTTTCAATGAGTAGCTACTACATTTATTTATCCAATTATCCTAGAAGTTTGATCTCACTATTCAGAAACACCCTGTATATTCATCGTGTCCGGATAGTGTTCTATAACGCCTACGATAGGCCATTCCAACTTTTTGGAGGCGGGGCACTGGTTTCCCAGTATAGCAAGTTGCCCTATAATGTTACCTTTAAACTCAATTTCAGTTCCATGATCGATGACGGTTTGAAACAAGTCTGTGTGCAATGAGGATCAATGAACTATATATAGCTGTTTACGGAAACTATAATCAGGTTAGCCCGATCAAAAGGATTACCAATCTCGACGTACGGAAAGGGATCTAGGATCAGCTCACTCTTTTACGGAAAATGTTCGGGTTATTCGGTTCTGTATCATCAGTTTGGATCTCATCGACCCTATAAAATGCGTGGTAAATAGGATTGGTACTGTCAGTTGTTTTTCTTAACCCAACTTTTTAGTTTTTTGGTGATTGTTTTGATATTGAATTTTCGTTGGTTGGTGCGTTGGTGTTAAAAATCAGAAAAAAATTAGTTCTATGATTACTGAGATTAAAATTAAAATCGGAAAATCAAAATAATTTTTGTTGAGGTGAGCAATGTTGGGAGGTGTCGTTTGGCAGGATTCATCTGCGGGTCCATACGTTCGGAAACTAAACTAGCTCCACCTACATAGTTTACTAATCCTTGAAGAGCTGATTTCCGTAAGCAGCTTATACCACACGTAACTGGACTGGATTGTTAGCAGGTGTCTCTTGGCAGGATACATCAGCCGGTCCATACCTTCGGACACTAAACTAGCTCCACCTAGATAATCTACTAATTCTTGAACAGCTGAGACTTATCGAACTGATCCTAGATCAGTGTTTCCGTAAGCAGCTTATACTACACGTAACTGGAATGGATACGACCGTTGTCGGATATGGCATTTGTCTGTCTTGTGTGTCCAAAGATAGCTATGCATAATGGGGGCTACCTTTCTCTCTCTAGTTTATTGCTGTTAGGTTTGGTTTATTCCTGTCATGTATTGTCATCATGTATTTTGACATGAATAATTTAATGTACTTATAACGCCGCTCCTACCAGCTGACAGACTAGAGACGTCAATCAGTCAAACTGTCTGCCAGTCGTTCTTTAGTTCTTTAGATAACAAAAACAGCATACATGAACATAGTTACTGTGTACCATTAATTTAGTAATTACATAGTGATCAAACACTAGTGATCAGTAAGAACGACTGTATTTATTTGATTTGACCCCGGATATAACAATTCCTAACCTCAAATATAATATTTTTTAGACATGGAAAGATTTCCATAATTATTCGCCAATATGATAAATAGAGATCCCAACCAGCAATTTTAGTCGCCGCTACGTATCCTCGACTACAAAGGTAACTTTAAAGTTGGTGTTACTAGTATCTGGAACCGTTTTAGCTCCGTTTATTCACCACGTTGTTACCAAAATAGGGAATGATTTCGCAGTTACGTTTACGTACCTGCATTGTCCTCGGAACTGTAAGTTTACGTCCCGATATCGTTTCGGAAACGTTGCGAAACCGTAAATGTGTTGTAATACCAACCAAAATGGGGCTTTTTTCCATGCGCCTTCAACCTTGAAGATATTTATTTGATCTTTCTCTCTCTTTCAACTAAAATTATGTATATTATGTTCCCGTTCTTCCAGCCAGTACTTTAACTTCACAATATGTTGACCTACATTTTGTTTACTTGATCATTATTACGTACCTATATGAATATTGAAAGGCTTTGATTTTCGTACCCAAGCAGCTAAAACCCAAACGCGTTGAAGTTTTTCCAAAAAATGGCGTCCCAAATTTTCTATAAAACATGGCGTATATTATTCAACGCTACGGAATCGGTTACCTTACAATGTAACTTGGAAGTGGCTAACTCTAAAGTGTTTTCTATCGTCCCTCTGCGGTTGTGGTTACCTTTAAAAACACTTAGTAGTCACGCCTTCTCGAAAATTGAATTTTTGACGTTACGGTGACAATTATTCGTTACTTTAAAGTTTTGGTATCAAATAAGTAGCTAAACTTTAACACTTCACGGTTGCAGCAACTCTGAAACTTACCACAAGGTAATGACACCATAGAGTCACCAAATTGGGTAAGTGTTACGGAAATTCCATTAATTCTTCTGACTCACTAGATGTTTTTGGTACTAATTACTATTTTTTTACCTAATCACAGTAGCAGTGTCGATCAGTGAGGGTTTCTATAACTTTGATGCTAGTTGGGATAGGTACCTACCCTCACAATCCTCACATTCTCCTTCTCAATTTGTCTCAATTTTATAGATCGGCGCGACCATTCCAGGTACGTGTAGTTTATAGTTCATTGATGAGGTTTGAAGCTCGACAAATCTCGCGATATAGGGCAAATGCACGATCTGACAGTTGACACTATTGACAGTCGCCTCGAGAAAAAAGAAAAATATAATTTACAGTGTTTTTTAAGTTTTTAGTTAGATGTTTTTAAAAGAAATACCCTTTGTATGATCCAGAAGTTTCTGGGACATGCCTAGAGTTTGTTTAGTTGTTAATTGTGACAATAGCGCAAGGGATAAAATATCCTTCCATAAGTTCCTATCAATTTTAGATAACAATGGGAGGTTTAATTTGTTAGCTCAAGAAAGAAGAGAAAAATTGATTAATGCCATTAAAAGAGAAGATCTGACAGAAAAGAAGATTGAATATGGATATATATGTTCTAAACCAATGATTCTTGGTTCAGATATTTGTTGGAAAACCTGAACTAAATCCATTATAGGAAAACCTAGCAGACCGCTAGATAAAGACCACATACGGCCATTTACACCGCTATAACTTAAGGGATATTTAATACAAGTGGAGCTTTGGATGTGATTCTCGTAGAAACAAAAGTCACATTCAAAAGCTCCACTTAAATTAAATATCCCTCAATATCCCTTAAGTGATAGCGGTGCAAATGGCCAATAGACTGGAACACAAGCACTTTACTCTAACTTTGTAAGATTCGAAATGTCACACAATAGTACCTACATTAAAATACAAGTTTCATAAGACGTCATTTTATCGCACGAGCGCGAGGGCGAGTGCGATAAAATGTCTTATGAAACGAATATTTTATACTATTTTTTCTATTTTGGTATTGTTTAATTGAAAAAAACAAACTCTTCTTGGAAATTTTATTCTCATATTTCCTGATTTCATATGTTTAGGTTGGCAACACTACATGCCAAATATAGAAATCTATTATTTTTTATCGCGAATGACAGTTCGATGGCCATCAGTCAGCCAGTGTTACCAACCTCCGATAAGTAAAAAAGGAGTGTCACAAAGAGCTTCTTTTCGAAACTACTTTTAGTGTCGAAAAGACTTCGATATGACACCAAAATAGAAAATAGCTATTTATACAATAAGTTACGAAATAAGTGTCTTTTAGGCACGCGACGTGAAAATTGTCCAACGAAGCAAAGCCGAGTTGGACAACACGTCGAGTGACTAAAAGACATCGTTTCGTAACGTATTGTATACAAGTTTTTTTCTACTGGCATTTTATAATAAAAAAACAGAATTTTATTTCATGTGAATAAATCGATTACGCCCAAAATCTTTGTTACCTGCTTTTGCTTGACACGTGACACTTTTCATGCGATTTTTTTTTCAAGATTCGATATCAATAACTAACATCCCAGAAAGTAGGTAACAACACCCAGCAAACACATGTCCTTCGGACCCCTGTCGGGCCAAAGCATTTTTGCCGGAAGTGGAGCGTTGGGCCTTGGGAGTCAAAAACCATCGGCCCGGACCTTATATGTCCGCCTAGCCAATCGTTGAGCCGCAGTTCGGCCGCATGTCTTTTAGAAGTCGGGCCAACTAAACTGAAAATAAAGCGTAACTTTAAGCTACTTGCCGGTGCATTATCGTTCAACGATTATTGCCTTGTGGGGCGATCTCGACTACCCTCGACCGGTCCTATTCTAATTTACCGTACTGCATAAATGCATACTATTTTTCAGCACAGTACCGCATATCCTAATACGCGCTTTGGCTCAACATCTAATAATGGTAACTGGGCCTGCCCTCGTACGCCGTAACCAGCTATTTGCCGACTCTTCCTACATGTGGCCGGCGGTTTACCTGCGGTCGGTGTTTGCTGGGCACAAAGTTCTGTTTTGAGTAACCCAGACGTTCAATTCAATAATTACATTTTTAATATTCATAATAAATACAAAACAAAATTCAAATCTGTGTTTAGTGTGTTTTTTTATTTCTGAATAATGAATGACACTTTCAGGCACTAGTGCTTAAAAATTACTTTTACGTACTCAAAAGTCACTTTCACGCACTCAAAAGTCACTTTTACGCACTGAGTGCTTAAAAGTAACTTTTACGCACTCAGTGCCTAAAAGAATGTCGTTTTAAAACTAAAATGACAATCGAAAAGTTGCTATTATGAAACGTCAGTAGAAAAATATATATTTATTGTTCCTATTTATTTTTAGGTATATATTTTGGACTCATGTAAAAGTGCTATTTCGTACACCTAGCGACATCTATGATTCTTCTGACTAGTTTTCCTAACCTAATATCGAGAATCCTGTTGTTTTCGAGCCATCTGTACCGCTGTCATTTTTATGATTTTGAAAAGCTTGACAGACAAGGAAATGAAAAGACAGAACCAATTTGGGTACTTTTGACTTGCCCTTTTCTCTTTTGTCTTGGGACCGAACGTCGTCCAGATTTTTAGAAGTGATTAAGCATCCTAAAACTTTATCTTTATTTTTGGCCATCAAGTCAATATTCTTACCGAATAACTACCCAGAAGAGTGCTCGCTAGTGTCTACTTGAAAATTTCCTGGAAAATCAACCGATTGTTGATTTTTTTGAAGATTTTTGAAAGTAAGGTTACTATCGGCCGTTCAGGTATGTGAATTTCTTTTTTTCTCTAATGAATGAGTCCTTATATCCCCTCAATTCGTTCAGGCACTTTCGGCAGGACGAAAAATCCGGTACTGCACTTCTCCAAGTGAAAATTAACAAATTTAAGACCACGCTGTCCTGAAACTCAGAGTAAATCTGGGCCCCGTTTTCGAGGAAAGTTTGTGTCCTGTGAGAAGAACCCCATTTGATCACAAACCATTATTTGGTTGTCTCCAGCCAGTTTGGTACCTCCAGAGCTCAAATTTGTGAAAAC